ACCCAGTCTGGGATTCTATGATTCTATTTACACAAGATCTATTTGAGCTTTATGCTTCACTCTAAGAAGTTGCACACTGGATAAAAGTGACAGCAGATCCAGCAACAGTAGAAACGCTGAGTAACAGCAATTTTTCTTCGAAGCCACAGAAGATCTTCAATACCCAGTCTGGGATTCTATGATTCTATTTACACAAGATCTATTTGAGCTTTATGCTTCACTCTAAGAAGTTGCACACTGGATAAAAGTGACAGCAGATCCAGCAACAGTAGAAACGCTGAGTAACAGCAATTTTTCTTCGAAGCCACAGAAGATCTTCAATCTTATGTTAATGAATTAAAAAGGTCAGTTAGCAGGTAACTTCCTGGATTTGGAATATGTTCTCCAAGTTAAGTTACAATATAGGAGAGCTCTGGAATTCCCATCTCCCAAGAAGAGATCAGGCTGCCCAGGAGCCATCCAGGATAGGATAAATTATCAGTCACCTTAATGTTTAGCAGCAGCTGAAAACTTTTAATAAGAGACATTGCAATGCTCTCAGCAGGCAAATGCAATCTGTTCTGTTGTAGGTACAGCTACTCTGACAGCAGGGCAGAAGCTAGTTAACTTCACAACGACAGCAAAAAGAGCCAGTGCAGCCCTGCTGTTACCCACAGGCAAAGAGACTCAGTCAATAAAACCAATCGCTGTCCCCCAGGAGCTATTCTGCTAAAGAGTCATGCAGATCCTGCTATTTAAAACTCTCTGCTAGCAGGAGAAGTGCCAGAATTAACAATCAATGGTCTCAATCAAGTGCAGGATCACCAACACAGTAATGATTTTTATTATAGCAGGATCAGACAATTCAAAATAAGTATCACTCTTGCAGCCCTGTGGGAGGTTTAGATGGTGGGGGAGAGGGAGGAGAGCCTGAAACCAGAATGATAAATACTTCATGGAATGACAATGGATTGGGTTGGAAAGGGTCTTAAAGCTCAGCTCATTCCACCCCCTGCCATGGGCAGGGACACCTCCCACCAGCCCAGGTTGCTCCAAGCCCCATCCAACCTGGCCTGGAACACTCCCAGGGATGGAGCAGCCACAGCTGCTCTGGGCAACCTGTGCCAGTGCCTCAGCACCTCACAGGGAAGGATTTATCTGTATAATATTCCCTGTTAAAAGTCTGAGAGCACCTCACAAGTGTTAGGGTTGGACTAACAACCACAGCGTGTAACTATGTGTTGTGTCTGGGACCTTGGGATACCTCAGTGGTGAACTGTCATTCCTAGGAACCCCGTGGTGCCTTGGCTCAGGTTCCTCCTGAGAATCACAGTCAGTCCTAAAGTGGTTTGGAAGGACCTTAAAACCCATCTCATTCCACCCCTGCCATGGGCAGAGTCACAGGTTGCTCCAAGGCCTATCCAACCTGGCCTGGAACACTCCCAGGGATGGAGCAGCCACAGCATCTGTGGGTGACCTATAAAGGATAACACCCCCAAGGGCACACAGTGCTCTGCTACCACTTCACAGAGCTGTCAGGGCATTTTAGGCAAGCAGAGGGTGAAAAGTTGGTGTCCGTTCACTCCGCATTCACTTCTCCTCCTTCCCCTGCCCCATGTGCTACTCCAGTTTCTCTTCCCATGCTTCCCTCAGCCGAGGTTGGGTGAGTTTATCTGTGCAGGGATGTGTGGCTGCTCCTTGGGGCACTGAGGGAAGCTGTTGCCTTCCTCAGCCTCATCACCCCCTGCTCCATCTCCATCAGCAACATCTGCCACGCTGACACCGTGGCATGAAGCAGAAAGGATGCAGCACAGGGCTGAGAGCATCGTTTGGAGCTTGAGACCTGATTTTTTAGTGCTGTAATGACCTGTGGTTTATATCAAGGCAGGTGAGTTCATGTTCCAGTGCCACCTCCCAGCCCTGTGTGTCAGCAAGTGAATATAAGAGCCCTCCAGACTGAATTTTAAGAGCCACATGGTTCAAACAGGCAGCCAAAAGCAGGATTTATTTAATTTTCCAGCTCTTGCATGGAAATCAGTGCCTCAGTACAAGCATAAACTCCCAGGCAAGGGGAAGCCACTGCTTTTCCAAGCAGGAGCTCTTCCTCCTCCAGTATTATTCTATCACAGCAACTTCATTTCTCCTTGAGCGAGGGCCTGACAGGAGTGGAGCTGCATTGTGTGATGGATGCTGGCTGGGGCCAACAGTGACAGATGTCTGCTGAGACTGTGTGAGAATTTTGCAGCCAAAGCAAAACTGGCAAAGCTTTGGCTCTGGGCCACTGTAGCTCGCGGGGGCTCAGCACCCGACGGGTTCACTGCAGTGTTTACAGCCCTCACAGGCAGTTCTAGGCATGGTTCTTGTCAGCACTGCAGAGCAGATAACAACCCTCATTTTCTTCATGTGTGTCACCCCCCAAGCCTTAAAACCCCTATTGTCCCCCCTGCTCTGCCTTTGTCACTCTTTCATAGGTATGAGCAGGCTGGAAAATCCTTCTGCTTGGGTTGCACAGCTGCATTAAGTATTGAGTGTTTCAGCTTGGAGCTTTATTTTTGGTCATAAATAGTGAGAAGTCACCTCTTATATCTTCTCATGCTCTCTTCCAAGTGCTTTTTGATCTCCCAGAAGCACCTCTTGCATCACAGGGTCACACATGGAGCATGACTGTGATAATCAGATTGTAAAGGAAAATGAGGCTTTTTTTCCTTCTTAAAGGAAAATAACAGCTCTTCTGGCCACAGAGGTGAAGAGCAAAGGAGCAGAAGGTGCTGACTACTGCTTTGCACAGTGAATTTCTCCTGGGACATGTGCTCTGAACATGATTTTGCACAATGACATCTGTCCCAAGGTCACGTTCATCTGCTCACTCTCCTCTAGGGGAACAGGAAGGGACTTCCTCACTTCTCTGCACTTCTACTGTTGTGTGTCTTTGTGTGCATATTAAATACCAATCAGACTGGGCAAAGGGATGATACTGGCCATAAATAATCACAACTAGAGCCTGGTGGTTGCCTTTTGTGGCAGGGAGAGGTGACAGTCTGTGCAAACATGTGGGAGAGCAGACAGGTACACCTGCCCAAGGTGTGGCTTTGCCCTTTGCTCTTGACAGTAATCAAAGGACTATAAATAGCTAGAAGCAGTTTGTTCCTAGTGTTTCTACACAGTAATAGCCTGCAGATACTGGACTCCTGTCCTGCAAAGTTGGTTAGGTTGAAAAAGCCCTCTAAGATAGAGTCCAACCGTTCCCCAGCAGTGCCAAGTCCACCACTAACCATGTCCCCAAGTGCCACATCTACACAGCTTTTCAGTTCCTCCAGGGATGGTGACTCCACCACTCTCTTCTGTAGACTTTGATCCACATGAGCCCATGAACCCGCCTGTAGTCACCTGGGCAGTGCTGTAGGGACCTGCAGGAGAAGATCCCTAAGGAATAAAGGACAAAATGAGGCACCAACACGTTAGTGACCATTTCTGATCACCACCAGGGATCCTGATGTCTGCACTGGTTCTGCCCCTTGAGATCCCAAATCACAACCACAGCAATGTCTCTGCTCTTCCAATTCAGACCCAAAGAGTGAGGCAGAAGGTAGCCAAAATCCAAATAGACCATAGTGTCTTCAAAACACTTTGTTAATTAAACTATACACACAGTTCAGCTTGAAAGGAAATGGGTTGTCCATATTAAATAGTCATTTTCCTTTGCACCTTCTTTTCCATGGTGTCCTTAAAATAGAATGACATCTTTTGGTGCATTTTCAATGGGTCTTTCCTGTTCTTTCTTCCTGGAATATCTTGCATGGTCATAGAAATAGATGATGATGATAGAAGCAATGCTCAGGAGGATGATGGGCAGCAGGATCCAGTATGAATAGCCATAACTGTGCTGAGATTTGAGCGGTGTCTGCAGAGAGGTAGAACATCCACGGGGGGCCAATTCTTCAGCCAGCCTGTTTCTTTCTATGTTCACAGGAAAGAGTATCATGGCTAGGAGCGTGAGGATTCCTAGAGAATATAAATATTAGGTGAATCTCTAGTACGATTTATGTAACTACTTCTAGTCTAATTTAATCTTTGTCCTAGTCCAAATTTTCTAATCACTTTTATATTTTCCATTAGTAAACTATAAGGATATTTAAAGACTCTTTATCCCACCTAATAGTATCTTCCAGATGTTTTAATTTTGGTAACTATATCTTTGAAAAGAAATGGGTTCTCACTAATTATTCTTAGATGAGGCCATTCAATTTAACTTTTTGCACCAAATTTAGTGCTGATGACTGTAATATATTGAGCTTCTGGGAGATTTGAGGAATGCCTATGTGATATGACCCCCAAATCCATGGGGTGTGATTTCACAGCTGGATAAAACCTTGAGCAACCTGCTCTGTGTTCAGGGTTGGCCCAGCTTAGACTTGGAGACCTCATGGCCTTTACAACTTGAGTTATTTAATGACTCTGATAAGCCAAAATCTGATGTCTAATTAGCTCTGTATTTCTTATAGACCTCCAAATATATGTGGAGTTTGGATACTTTGATCTTTAACTAAATGATGTTTTTACATCCCTATTTTCATAGTGCTAAGGGATCTATATAATCTCTGAACACTGGGGGAAATAGTTCTATTCTTTCCCTCCAGGTATTCCATCCTCCACAAGTTCATGCTGAAACAGGTTCAGGAGGACACTGGACTTTCAGGCCACCTGGTAGGAGAATTAGGAACCTTCAAGAGAACCTCACACACACCAAATGACATGTGATTCTTCATACACCCATAGTAAAATAGACTTCCAGGTCACAGCACTTAACAGGGCTGTAAAAAGTAACTGCAACCCTCAGCCAACATGAGAGTTTATTTTCTCACTCATATTTATTTTGGCAAGCCCATGGGCCTTTCATTTCAGCTCAGGACACAACCAACCTTCTCATTGCTGAGACAATGATCTGCTTGTCCCAAAAGTTGAATCATTGTCTAACTTGGGCTTTTGTTGACATTCCTTACTGTGTTTCACAGCTGTTTCAGCATCTTTAGATGCTGTGATCAAACAGGAATGTTTCACACCCCCATAGCACTTGCTATGAGTAAGACTTGCTTTATCTACACTATTCTTCTTCCACCAAGGTCTGGTTTTGGCCCCAGGATAGGACAATGCTGCTGTGGACATGTCTCTCTCCCATCTTCAGACCTGAAGAGCTTTTGAAGGACAAAATACTCATGCTGAAGTACTCTGTAATTAGATGTCTTAGAAGGAAATTATTCAAGTGCAAACCTATTATTAGAGGAGCACATAATCCTCTTGAGACAAATTGAGACTGAGAGCTGAAGTCATTGCCAGAGTATCATGAGGAGGGGAGGAAGGTGTGTTGGGAGCAGCTAAGCTCAAGCCAACCAGGTGAACATAGGGTTACACCTCCAGGGAGGTGTTTGATAGGGTTCACAGCTCTCATTCAGCATCTTTTCCATTTCTTCTGCTAAGGGAATGCGAAAACTTAGTTTGATCTGTGAAAATGATTCATTTTATATTTAGAGAAAAATAAGTGACATAATGAGTCACAACTCCTAACTGCTTCCTCCCCATTTATATATCATATACATATTATTTTGCTATTATATAATACTATTTTACTTGTACTTAAAAGATAGTTTTCAGGTACCCCAACAGACACGGTTAAAACCCAAAACCACTGACCAAAATACTCTTAGAAGTATTTTCTTTTCTTTCTTAATCTTGGAATTGAGGAGACTACAACCCTCATCCATATGCTGGGCAGAAAGTGGTCAGCATGGAATATGCTACTCACCACATAAGGAATTCCAGGTGTAGACTCCAAAAGGGCCCAAAAAGGTCTGGTATGGATTGCTGACAGCATTAGCACAGGTAAATCCAGAGCTGAGAAGGGAACTCAGCAAACAGAGAACCAGAATCACAATGATGGCAATGTTGATGCTCTTTGTCGCGTTGCTGCTCAGAGCATCTGCAACTGAAACACAGAGGTTCAGCATGGACGAGGGACAGGAGGAAATAGCCTCACGTTGTGCCAGGAGAGCTTTAGATTGGATGTTAGGGACAATTTCTTCACTGAAAGGGTGGACGAGCTTTGGAACAGGGTGCCCAGGGTGGTGGAGGAGTCACCATTCCTGGAAGTGTTAAAATGTGGCACTTGGGGACAATGGTTTGGTGTGAACATGGTGGTACTAGGTTATGGTTGGACTCAGTGTTCTTAGAGGTCTTTTCCAACCCTACTAATTCTATGATAATCAGCCTTCCCTGCCCACTCTGGTGGGCTTGGACAACCTTATAGCTTACTGCCATGGCTGTAAGTAAAAGCAAATAACCAGATCTGCAGAGATTGGGATGTAGAAAGAACAATAGGTTTGGACATGAACCCAAATCTAACATGGGCTGAAGGTGCATAAGGCTGAAATTAGTGCACATCTGCTAATCCTGCAGGCACACAAACCTCCTGGGCAGTGGCTGGGCAGGAAACTTCTCTTCCTTAATAATTCTGTACAAAGGATGTAACCAGAGAGAAATTTTATTTTATTAGTTGATACACACAGGTCATTGCCCACTGTAGCTGCTGGAGATGTAGGAGTGTCTGACCACATGTACATGGCACATGGTCAATCCCTCCAGGACTGTCATCAGTTTTATTGCCTTTGCCTAAATCCTTCCACTTATTCCATAGTTAGCTGCTAGTAAGATCACAACCATGACTGCAACACCCTCAGAGTGTAATTGCAGTATAGCTGTGTTGAGGTATGTTATTTTCCTCCTTTCAATTCAAAGGTTGAAAAGGAAACTATAATGTGCCTGTGGCTGTGTGATGCTGTAACAAATATGATGACAATGTTTTTGAGCTCTGTTCAAATGGGTGTTGTGACAGACAACCATCTGTAGGAAAATTCCCTTTCTATGCTGCTTTTCACACAAAGCCATTACTGCCAAGTATTCAGGTAGTGCAGAAATGGGAGAAATCATAGGAGGAAAAAAAGCCCCAGTAAAAAAAATCCAAACCCATAGAGAGAAATAAACAGAATGAAAAGAAGAGCTATTGGAAAGAAATGAAAAGGAGAACATCTCTCTCATTTTCTACAGTACTGCAGGTAGGAGTTAATTTCTGTTTGAGGCAATAGCAGGTAAAAGGATGTTATGGAAATCAGCTGCAAATTTAAGCAATTTCCCTAGAAGAATAGGGAAGATGAACATCCAGGGGATATGACTCAATGAAATGGAAGTGAGCACAGTGCACTCAGGCTGCAGCAGCATCACAGGATCACAGAGTAATCAGAGTTGAAAGGGACCCACGAGGTTCATCAATTCCAATTCCTGTCCCTGCACAGACACCCCAACAATGTACCCTGTGCCTGAGAGCATTGGCCAAACACTCCTGGAGCTCTGTCAGCCTTGGGGCTGTGCCCACTGCCCTGGGGAGCTGTTCAGTGCCCAAACACCTCTGGGGGGCAGAATCTTGTCCTGATACCCAACCTAACCCTCCCCTGACACAACATCAGACATTCCCTCAGGTCCTGTCACTGGTCCCAGAGAGCAGAGCTCAGAGCTGCCCCTGCACTGCCCTGTGAGGAAGTTGTATCCAGTGATGAGGTCTCTCCTCAGTCTCCTCCAGCTGAACAGACCAAGTTCCCTCAGCCACTCCTCATAGGGTCCCTCAAGGCCCTTCACCATCTTCATGTCCCTCCTTTGGACACTCTAATAACTTTACACCTTCCCTACATTGTGATGCCCCAAACTGCTCACAATATTCCAGGTGAGGCTGCTCCAGCACAGAGCAGAGCAGGACAATCCCCTCCCTCTGGCCATGCCTGATGTCCCCCAGGACACGATGTCCCACCTGCTGCCAGGGCTCACTGTTGGCTCATATTCCACTTGCCATTAACAAGGGCTCCCAGGTCCTTTTTCTGGCACTACATTCCAGCCTCTCCTTCCACAGCCTGTAGGTACAGCCAGGACATTGAGTATGATCTATTTCTTGAGCAAGAAGTACGTCTGGAGCCAACTCAGCCAGGCTTGTGTAATTTCCCTCTGGCAGCGTCAGCTAATTTTATCTCAGAACATCTCCAGGATTGACTGGCTACACCTAGTGCAGCCCCTAATTGATCTTGTTTATCTCTGACAGTGATCCACAGTTTAGGGGGTGGAATTCTGTCAGGCTCCAGCTGTCAGAACAGCACAAGGCTAAAGGGCTGAAAGAAAATACTCTTTTCATGGCAGCAGGTTGTTTTTTTTCTCCCCTGAATAAAGCAGCCTGTGCACACTGAGGGAACCTACAATAGCTGATCTACTTGAGTGGGATTGATAGGAACCTGCAGCTGGATCACAGCCGCATCCATAGTGTGTTTCATAGTATGTTAAGGGGATGGATGGACCTTAGAGATCATCAAGTCCCAACTCTCTGCCCTGGCCAGGGTCACCTTCCACCAGACTAGGAAGGTGTGAAAAATCCATGTAAAATAACCTCATTCTGGAATGAAAGCAGAGGGGTTTGCCCTGGACAGATGTCTCCTTAATTCCTTGTATCTTCTTGTATTTTTTCATGCTTAATTCCTGTATGTTTGGATGGAACATCCCAAACTTTTAGTGACCTGAGTCAGCCTTCCAAACAGCACTAATCTGTCAGCTTTTATGAGCTCTACAATCACTTATGATACATAATGACTTGTTCATTTTAAAAAAAAACGAACAAAAATCCCAAGCAGAGTTCAACTGAGCTTCCTGGTGTTCAGGAGACCCCATAGGACATTAGGAAACTGATGATAACCTTCATGAAGTTCCAGCAGTTTTCAAGCATTTGTAGTGTATGTTCAAAGGTAGAACGTGAATTTATTCCTCTCTGCTTAGAGTAATTTTCCTCTTGTGTTGTTGGCCTTGCGGCCTGCCAATAGCTGGATAAACCCTGACATTCCAGGCTTCTCTGGGTGTGCCTCTTCCTGTGCCTTGCTCAACTTCTGTGTGTTTGACTTGGACACAAGCAAAGCTGTAAACAAACTCTCTCCCAGACTATTATATTCATAGGTGGTTCCTTTTGAAGACAAATCACTGAAACAGCTAATGAAGACTCTAAGGACTTTGGTTATTAAATAACTTTTCCATTCTGCCTCACCATTGATCTCCAGAGCCTGGGAAGTGGCTGCATTGATTTATTGCCCTATTAAGGTTGTTCATGACAGTCTGACTGGGCAGTTCATGCTCAGTGCACTTGCACAAACATGTTCCTTTCTTGGGCTTTCATCTTTGCACTTGGAAATTGTTTTTAATGTTGTGGTTTCTAGAAGAATAAGTTATTACCTTTATAAAGGCTGTTGAATGGCCATTCATGAAAGGCAACCTGGGCTATTGCTAGCAAGTAATCATAGACCTTCCTGAGCTGGAAGGGACCCACAAGGATCACCAGTCCAACCTCTGCCCTACACAGACACCCCAACAATGCCCCCTGTGCCTGAGAGCACTGGCCAAACACTCCTGGAGCTCTGTCAGCCTTGGGGCCAACATTAGACGTTGGGAGAAATGTTTTCCCTGTTAGGGTGTTCAGGCACTGGAATATTGTCCAGGGAGGTGGTGGAGTCACTATCCCTGGAGGTGTTTAAGAGGTATATGGGTCTGGTGCTGGAGGATTTGGTTTAGGGGTTACAGCAGTGACAGGTTAATGGTTTGACTCAATGATCTTAGAGATCTCCTCCAACCTTGATGACTCTTTGATTCTATCACCACTGTCCTGGGGAGCTGTCCCAGTGCCCAGCCACCCTCTGGGAGAAGAACCTTTCCCTAATCTTCAGACTAAACCTCCCCAACACAATTTCAGGCCATTCCCTTGGGTCCTGCCACTGGTCACAGAGAGAAGCAATGTAAATCCCAAAGCTGTTGCCTTTGACTTCCTCTTTCCCGATTTCCATCCTCTTTTATTCATACCCAAATCTGACAATGCCATGTTTGAAGCACATATAGAGTGCACAGCAGAGCTCCCCAGCCAGGGCACAGTTACTGAGGGATAAATCACACTGTGATTTAAAAGGATGCTTAAAACTCTTCTTATTTTTGTCTGAAATGTTAAGAGTGGAGAGAGCACAGCACTTTGTTCCTAATAGCACTGGAAATCCATTTATGTAAAGGTATCAGCAAAGGAATGATACTTACTGCATTAGAGGGACCTGACTATATGGATTTAAAAATGGGAGGTATGGAATTCTGTGACATATTTTGCCTATTTCAAGTATATACGGAATAAATCACAGAATAGAATGGATTGGAAGGACCTTAAAGGCCACCTAATTCCAGTCCCCTGCCCTGGGCAGGGACACCTTCCACTAGCCCAGGATGCTCCAAGCCCCATCCAACCTGGCCTGGAACACTCCCAGGGGTGGAGCAGCCACAGCTTCTCTGGGCAATCTGTTCACCTCATCTTGGAAATATGCACAGCTGAACTAGGGAGGGACTTGGGCAAACCCAGATTTAGGCTATTCATAAAGCATCACTTTGCTTCAGCAGTTGTGGAAAGCAGCTCACAACTCTAAGTTCACTTGTTTTGTTCCTCCCTAAATAACTGATATGTGAGACTTGAGACAACATTTTGTCAATGTTATCTCACCAGCTGATCAATAAGCACAAAGCCCTAAATCTGATGGGGGAAAACCCACCAGCACCAAGATTGAATACAGAGAGCTGAAACTGCTCCAAGTGTTCTCTGAGTGTTTGTCAGTGATGCTAATTAAAATCGATCTGATGGTAACACCCAGACCCTGGAGTGTGTAGTGTGAGCTGCTGTGCAGCCAAGGCAAGGCACATGCCCTGACCCCCTGCCAGCCCTGCAATCAGCTCTCTGTGGGAGAGCTCCAGGTTTCACACGGAGCCCAATTAAAAGCAGGACCCACATGGCACAAGGTTTGGGGCTTGAGCCAACTGCCATGGGGGGTTAGAACCATATACCAACCAGTTTATCAATGCATCTTTACTCCTCTAAAAATGACTTGGATTATTATGATATGGTTGTAAGTAAAGCAGCTTGGATGACTGGTGATTTTGTGTTTGTTATCCAACAATCTCAATGCTTCCATGTTTTGCTAGGGATGATGCTGAGTTCAGGTTTGCATGGCAACATAAATGTTCTCATGTGAAATGACTTGTGCAACAGCTTTGCCACCGTGGGAATTTGGGTGTCTGTCTGTGCAGGTAAAATTTCTCTAATAAATTAACCTGGGAAAGAAGTGGGAGCAGGGAAGCAACTGGAGGCCTAGGTGTGGTGTGCCCTACTTTGGTGGCTTCTTTGTGATGGGACATCTTCCAACAACCTACCAACAAAGACACAGATCCAGCAAGTATCTTAAAATCCCAGAAAGGTTTGGGTTGGAAGAGACCTTAAATATCAACTTGTTTCACCCCCTGCCCTGGGCAGGGACACCTCCCACCAGCCCAGGTTGCTCCAAGCCCCATCCAACCTGGCCTGGAACACTCCCAGGGATGGAGCAGCCACAGCTTCTCTGGGCAACCTGTGCCAGTGTCTCAGCACCTCACAGGGAACAGTTTCTTCCTAATATCTGGTCTAAATCTCCACCTGATGTTTCAAAATTTTTGATCTACTCTAATTTTTGTTAGGATTCTCTTGACTGTTTTTTTTCCCTTTGACATGTGTCCATCAGTATTATTTGCTTTGAACTTGGTGAGGCAGCAAGATAGATAAATGGAGTGTGAACCCTTGATCCTTGCGAGAACTTTCAGGCGTAGGTACCTTTAGGTATTGTTTTACATGTTTTGTTCTTTTTCTTTCAGGAGCTTTAAAACCTTTTTTTCTACAGAAATGATGCTCATTTGGTAGTGAGTAGCAAAATGTTTAAAATCAAATAATAGAATCACAGGATGTTAAGGGATTGGAATGGAGCTTAGAGATGATCCAGCCTCAACCCCTGCCCTGGGCAGGGACACCTCCCACCAGAGCAGGTTGCTCAAGGCTTTAGCCAACCTGGCTGTGAACACTGCCAGGGTTGGGGCAGCCACAGCCTCCCTGGGCAACCTGGGACAGTGTCTCACCACCCTCACAGCAAAAACTTCTGCCTAAGATCTAATCTCAGTTTCCCTCTTTCAATTTCTCCCCATTCCTCCTTGCCCTGTCCCTGCAGTTCCTAACACAGAGTCCCTCTGCAGCTTCCCTGGAGTCCCTTCAGCTCCTGCAGGTTGCTCTGAGGTCTCCACACAACCTTTTCTTCTCCAGGCTGAACAGCCCCAACTCCCTCAGCCTGTCCTCATAGGGAAGATGCTCCAGTCCTCTGATCAACTTATAAATTATAATAAATAGCTAAAAAAAAGAAATATTTCACTTTCCAGTATTTGTATTTAGGTTTCTAATCCTTTAATAAAATGCTGTTGCTTTTCTCTTCCTCACCAAAAGCTGCTGAAAATGAAAGTCAGTTTTACATAATTCCTATTTTGTATTTTTCCCATGTTCCAAGGTGTAGGCCAAAATCACAGGTAGTTAGAATAAATTGTTATTGGCAGGAATGTTGCAGCATTTCTGTGCTTTTGGGGGGTCTTGTTTTATCCCGCTTCAATCCCCAGACTAGTTTGTAGTTATTCTTGTTCTCACTTAAAGTAATATAGTTATAGATGAATACATGACCGAGCTGAGTTTCTACATGTGTCATCAGTATGAGCATGAAGACCTGAGGTATAGATTAGATAATAGGAAGGAATTCTTCCCTGTGAGGTGCCCGGGTTGCTGAGAGCAGCTTTGCCTGCTCCATCCCTGGGAGTGTTCCAGGCCAGGTTGGATGGGGCTTGGAGCACCCTGGACTGGTGGGAGGTGTCCCTGCCCTGGGCAGGGGGTGAAACTGGATGATCTTTAAGGTCCCCTCCAACCCAACCCATTCTGTGACTCTCTGACCCTCTGAACCATATCCAGGTATAACACCACTCACCTTGGAAATTTGATTTTGGCCCCTGAAGTCCTGCAAGATAGAACTGTTCACAGGTACCTCTGAAAAGTCCATAGTTGAGGGTGATGGTGACGCTGGAGTTGGTGCTCTTGTAGAGAAGCTCACTGGTCACCCAGTCCTGGGTTGCCAGCCCCACACAAATCAGCACGAAGGAGGAGACAGAGGTGGAAAATGCAGATGAAAACATGGTGCTTTTCTTTCTGGATGGCATCTTGTCTGAGATTTTTCCACCAATTCAGAGGATTTTCTTCTCTTCAGTCCAGCTGACCGTGAGGTTCTTTCCTCCTCCTCTCTGGGCTGTGCTCTCTGTGCCAGCAGAAGTTCCCTTGGTAAACTTTAAGCAAGCAGCAGTGGTAATAAAAATGTAAAACAATTGAACTTTGGTCTGGGGAAAAGGTGTTGCCATAGTTACAACAAATCCAGGCTGGGAGGGATCGTGGCAGATGATTTATGGTCCTTGCCAAACTATCAACTTCCAGGCTATGGCTCTGGAGATCTCCAGGTGCCAGTGTGATCCTTCTCCCTTCTGGGAGAGCTTGGAGCTTCTTGTTTTCCTTTTAAAATCCTAATAACCAGGCTGGAAAGATTTTGTGCTAAATCAATATCTAATTTGTATCTAATGTGTTATGGTAAAGAGGAATAAAATGTTCCTTTTCCATTCAAATCCCCAACTTGCTTAATTGCTAATCAACTGTCTTTTGTGAGACCTCTGAAATTCTTTCAGTGCATGAAAACAATGGGTTGGTCTTGGGTTTTGGTGGGATGAGGAGGTTCTACACACCCTCAACAGATTATTTTCTAATGAAGGCCTACAATTCTTGATTAAATTTCACATATTTTTACCCTATAACTCTTATTTCTTTTTTACCTTCTTGTTTTTGTTAGGGAGGAAACAACTACCTTTGAATACAGTTTCATTTCAGTGCAGTACTGGAATTCTGAAGGGAATAATCCTGAAAAAGACCTGTTCTGGACTATAAAGCAGGAGAATATATTCATTTCTTCAGTCCCAAATTGACCTAAAGAAGACAAAAGGCAGGAAGAACATGATATCCAACAGAACCTGCATTGCTCTGTACAAAGATTGGAGGCAAATTGAGGTAAACTCAGCACCATTCAGGGTCCCAATCTGAAACCTGAAATGGAAAGGAATAATCTATTGTCAGGGTAAAGTAACAGAGATTCATTTGGCTTTTATTACTCTTAATTATAATGTCATTATTCCACACTGTACTGAGCCAGAGCTTTTTAATTAACCTTTAGGGAACAAGTTGCTTTACCAGTGCTGCTAAATAAACCTGTTGAGCTCTGGACCTGAAGCTTCACTAGTTTCAGAGGGCACAGACTCAAGCTCTGCCAGGGGAGGGTTAGGTTGGATATTAGGAAGATATTTTTTATGGAGAGAGTGCTCAGGCATTGGAATGTGCTGCCCAGGGAGGTGGTGGATTCACCATCCCTGGAGGTTTTCAAGCTGAGACTGGATGTGGCACTTAGTGCCATGGTCTAGTCACCACAGTAGGGTTGGACTTGATGATCTTGGAGGTCTCTTCCAACCTGTTTGATACTATGATTCTATGGTCTCTAATAAAAAATATTTTAACTATATATTATCTAAGTATAATACAATTTTTATATAATTTTTATTTATGTGTAGCTATAAATTTTGAAGAACATATAATTTTTATTCCTAATGCATCTATATCCTTCACATACATAATTAACGTATGTACCTATGCAATTAACATCGCAGAAATCAGTGAGTATTTGGTTTCAGCTCTGAGGAGTGAAGGGAAGTTTCTCGGCCTGTCTAAAGCAGTCAGGAACAAGAAACATTCCTCACTTCCTGCCCAGTCTCCAGTTAAACTTTAACCACAGCAACATGGCAAAGCTTTGTTAGGCTGAGCCACCTCTGGGTCATGAATCCAATGGTTCTCTTCACCCTCCAGTTGCATACGAAGAGCAGAGTCCAAAAATTTATAGTCCAAGGATAATTTAAATAAACGGAGGGAAAACCCTTCCTTGTCCCCCATAAAACATGCTTAAGTATATATACATATATTTAAGAACTAATGTTTGTCTTGGTACAGTCTTCAAGGGAATTCATTTTCAGCTCCTGCTCAGTGGTTTTCCCTTTCAGTTTCAATGAACTGAGCACTCATAGCCTTAAACCTCCCAAATAACAGAGGCTAAGAACATAGTGGATAAGCTGAAGTTCCTTTCCCAGGAATCTGACTCAATTAAACTCAGTTTTTGGTGACTCAGCTCAAATTGTTGTGGCTCAGCTCACTGAAACTCTCCTGTGGCTCAAGGAATTGCTCTGTAAATGAGAACATCATTTGCCTTTTTCTTCCCTGTCACCCTGAAGTTTATCTATTCTCTGCCAAAGCTACAATTCCTTGGGTTGTTCTCTTTTCCTCACCTAAGGAAGCATCATGTAGCTTGGAATGGAAACTGCAGTTTGCCAGGACACACCTCATCACTTGAGAGGAAGGGGAAGAGTTCCTGCTCAGCACCTTAGCAGCTCTGCCCCTCTGCCCCTGACTCAGCCTGCACAACAGGCAAACAGAAAAGACAGATTCATTGGTTGTGAATCAGATGAGCAGTAAAGAGGGTTAAATTCCTTTGCTATATAAAACTGCATATTGCCCTGTGATTTCAAAGTTACTGTGAGTCTTTCTCTTCTGTTTATGTACAGTTCAGTTTGCTTCAAGCAACCAGGTAGGGGAAAAGAGAACATGAAAGCCTTTAAATGCAAACATTTCATATAGATCTGGTTTTTAATGTGATAAACTCATCCTTACATGTGAAATAGAAAATCACACAGTGGTTTGTTGCTTTCCCCACAGCCCCAGATTTGATACTGGGAAGGAATTGTTCCCTGGGAGGGTGGAGAGACACTGGCACAGGTTGCCCGGAGAAGCTATGGCTGCTCCATCCCTGGATCTGTTCCAGGCCAGGTTGGATGGGTCTTGGAGCAACCTGGGCTGGTGGGAGGTGTCCCGGCCCATAGCAGGGGGTGGAACAGATGAGCTTTAAGGTCCTTCCAACCCAATACATTCTGTGACTTTCTGACCCTCTGATCCATGTCCAGCTATGACACTGTTCATCTTGGAAAGTTGTTTTTGGTCCCTGAAGTCCTTCATCAACAGAGTCTTCACAGGTCCCACTGAAAGGTCCTGGCCTGCAGGACCTGAGGGTTGGCTCACAGGTAAATGCTCTCAGCTATATTGAGTAGCAGCCAGGGAAATTCAAGGTGAAACCACTGGAAGTATCTTCTGTTCTGCTGCAACCACAATACTTAGCAAAGGCTGTTTGTGGCTTAAAAAATTCCATGTTCACTTTAAATCTTTAATTTCAAACCAATTGATGGCTGGAGGATGACTTAGCTGTGTAGTTCCAGGCAGTTCTGCCGCTGTTTGTGTTTTTCCTTGGGCCTGACCTTTGTGGTACATCCTTGTGTGCCACACAAAGCCTTCACATCCTTTTTAGCTTCCATTTTTCATGTCTAGTTGCAGGGGCGCTCAGCCCCAAGGCTGACAGAGCTCCAGAAGTGTTTGGCCAATGCTCTCAGGCACTGGGTGGATCATTGGGGTGTCTGTGCAGGAAGAGGAGCTGGACTTGATGATCCTTGTGGGTCCCTTCCAGCTCTGAATATTCTGTGATTCTGTGATGTGTTTATGCCTTTTGGACTGGGTGAGGGAAATGGGATGAAGCATCATGAATTTTACTGCAGCTGGAGCTGAAAAATGTGAAGCTCAACTGAACTGCAAAATTATTGCAACAACTGTTTGGAAAGCTGAGAGGAATGGGAGCACAATTCATATGGATCTCTGCCCAGTGCTGCTGTGAGATGGGTCTGAAGGATTCCACCTCCTGATTTCCTTCTTCTCTTGCTCTGACCTTTTTTCCAGCACTTTTGAAAGACAAAGCAAACATGTTTTAAATGTTGCTTGGATTTCTTCCCAGAACATGACTAGAACTTCTTGGGTGAGAACTCCATCATGAGGTAGTTATTGATCTCTGATGCTGGAGCACCTTGGTTGGTGCTGGAGTGGCAGTAGGAATATTGCACTGCCACCAGCCCCCAGGAGCAGCTTCCTTTCACACCAGCAGTCAACCGGAACATGGAATGCTGCAGGAACATGGAATGCTGGTTCCCAGTTTGAAAGGAAAATAGCTGAAAGATGTCAAAGCCACAAACACCATGAGCGCAATCCTGCATTAAAATGGTTGTTACTGCAGGAGCATCCCCAGACTTAGGTCTAAGTGAGCCAGAGCTGTCTGCTCTGCTACTCTGGGCAAGGGCCTGGAGTGCCAGGACAAGGGGGAATGGATTCAAACTGACAGAGAGGAGGGTTAGATGGGA